GTTAGAATAAATTCTTTCTTAAATCAAACTTATTTTTGTTTTGGTCTTTTTCAATGGAATTTCTCCACAAAAGCAAAAATACAGAATATTGCCAGACTTAGACTGCAAGGGCCCGTACAGAATGAGACTGCACTATATCTGTCCAGTTCTTCTCAAGTGTTGTCCCCTGATTTTCCTCATTCCACTTCCACGTTAAACTGACTGGCACAGCGTAGACCCCCAGCTCCTGCTTCAACACATCTAGCTGACCTCGCTCCTACAGAGTTCAAAAAGACAAGGAGGAGCAAAATCAAGAAGAACGAAAGCTCAAACAGAGAAGAGACGAGGAGAAAAAAAGAGGAAAGTCATATGTCATAATGAATCAGTCATTCCTTAGAAAATCCCTAATGGCTGTTGTGAAAGCTTGAGGTCAGTTATTACATAAAAGTATGCCAGCAGAGCAGAACAAGTAGTGCTGCAGTTGTTTCAGTTGTTTGTGTGGGCGGACACCGTTAAGAACAAGTCTGTGTCTGTTTCTAAGCATGTCAGCATGTAGTGTGATGAGCACCAGGCAAAATAATACCTCGGAAGGCGGGTTCTTGTCAGACGCTCCCTGGTTAAACAGGACCTGTCTCAGTGCAGCTCTGGATCTGACTCCTGCAGATGTTCCTTTACTCACTGACGCAAAGGTAGTCACAACCTTCTGCTTGGGTCTCCTCTGAATGGGAAAATACAGTAGGCATAAGATAAGGAAAGATAAGCAATACACTTATTTATTAGTGTTTTGCAAAATTTAAAGCAAGTATTGACTGAAACTGGCAGTCTCTCTCTCTCTCTCTCTCTCTCTCTCACATACACACAGGGGGGCATTTACTTTGAATTCCCGAATACTTTTAAACACTTTGACACTGCAAGATGAGGGTTCTCAGGGCTGAAAGAAGTATTCAGATCTTTTACTTAGGTTACAGTAGTTATATCCCAAGTGACAAGTGAAAGCCCTGTATTCAAAATCTTAAGTAAGCAAGATGTGCTTGAACTAAGAAAAATAAAAGTACTTTTTTATATAACATGGATTCTTTCATATTGTCATATATAATGACTGTATTAGTGCTGCATTCATGTTTAAGCTGCATTTTTGCTGTAGTTAGTCAAGGTAAGCTCATTTTAACAAATTTATGAAAGGCTGAGAACTTATATCTTGTTTAAAATTAATTTGAGCTCAATGAAAATATTTTAACCTTTTTTTTTTAAATTTTGACCTAACCTTTGAACTATTTTGACCTAATGAATGTCAGATAGACTGAAACATTGCCTATTTAATAAATTATTCAGCCTAAGTGAGACAGTGTGTTGGAGTTTCTTTTTTTTAAACAAGTTCTAGAAACATTTCTCACTGTGAATATGATTCCTGTCCCATATCACTTGCCTGATAAGTCAGGGTACCAAACTTCTGTTTGTCTGCTGACCCCTTGTGGTGATGGTTTATCTCTGCAGCTGGCGATGTCACTTCAGCACCCTCTGTTTCTTTGCTTTCCATGTCCTTCTGCCTTTCTCCTTCCACACTACTGTTCTGCCATGACACCAATCTTTCTTCTTTTGGTGAATCATTTCCCTCAACACTGTTTACATGGGATACTTTGGAGGAAAGGCTAAGGATAAGCACACAGTGTCACTTGTCAAAAGGAGGTGTGTGAGGGCACAGAAGAGAATAGATTAGTTACAATAGGTACAAGAAAGGGCTTTACAATACAGGTAAAGAGCATGGAAACCAGGATGAAGGGATATTGTGTGCCTTGTCTTCATTTTAAAGGGTTTACTAAGGCTTTCTTTTCAGAGCTAAAGCTTTATAAGCGTTAAACAATGTGACTGTGTTTAAGTAGCTTAAGACGTAGTTTAAAGCCATGTCTGCAAATTACAGGGTCCACATGACAGTGTTGCAAAAAGTACTCAGACCTTTTACTTAAGTAAAAGTAGAATTACCACAGTGTAAAAAATACTTTGTTACAAGTAAGTCCTGCATCTGAAATGTTAAAACTATAATCAGCAACATACAGTATACTTAAAGTATCGTTAGTAAAAGTACCCATCAGGACAAAAATAGTTCCTGTCAATGCTTTATTGTTATTATATGATGTTTATGGATTAATATTACTGATGCATTAATGTATATGCTGAAGTTTACTGCTGTAGTTGTTTGAGGTATCTAATCAACAGCAATCTATGATATTCTATAAGATCATCATATGCTCATCATATCAATAAATTCATCATTCGGTTTAAAAGCAAAATTAATATTTAAAATCACCAAATTTAGAGGTTCATGAATTTCACTGGTCAGGAAGGGGGTGAGAAATTGTAATCTGCAAAGTAATTAGTAATTAAAGGTGTCAGGTAAATGTAGTGGAGTAAAACGTAAAAATAAAAGTTGCAGAATGTCACTATGACAACATGACTAATTAAACAAACCTGACCTGAGAATCAAAGGCCAAACCTAAGATTCACAACTTGCAGATTTAAGCTACAGCAAACAACGTGCCTCCATTCTCATAAAGCTACTGTTTCTCAATGAAACATTTCATAATTTACTGATGAAGCCATCAGAGGAGGGTCATTTTTACACACCGCTGCATCAATGCTGTTATTTAAAAGCTGCATTTATACTGTTATGTAAGTGCATTGAGGGTTAATGGGTTTAAAACATAAGCCAAAAAAGTAAATACAGTCTCATGAGCAAACATATCACAGACAAGTACACTGCACTAATCTGCCCACGGTATTTTGTCTGGCTTCAAACGACTGACGCAAGTGCTTTAATCACGGTGTCAATTCCTGCTTACAACCACTGCCTGGAGCCCACAGTACCTAAGCATGTCGAAAATTGCATTATCTTTGATTTGTAACAGCTTGACCCATTCATACATAACTATGAGTCAACTAAAACAACCGCTCTAGTTTTGTAGTCACATTAAAACAGCAGATCAAATGCCACAGATTAGTCTGCAAAGCTTTAACATTAGGCTAACTGTGGTGAAGACATGAAATAAAGTGTTTTTCCCAAAGTACTGTATCCTCTCACCATCTTAAGCTACTAGCTATGCTTTACAATAGACCAAATTATAGACTTTACCTGAGCTTGCTTGAATCCATTTTGTTTCACAAAGTCATGTTCAGTTTCTGTTACCATTCTCCTCCTCCTCTTTTTCTCTACCTGGATCAGTCCCTCCCTCTCTGCCTTTCACCTGCACCCCTGCCCTCTGCAACTGGCCTGACGGGAACAACTGGATTCTGCTCAGGCTTGGTTAATGTATTGCAGTTAAAAGTGCTTAATGGAGCAGAGGTAGTCACTGATTTCTTTGAGGCTAATCTGTTGTTGTGTTATGTCAATCAGATGTATTGATCACCCTGGGCAAACAGAGGACAATGTTTTAAGAGGAGAAGAAACAGGTCATGTGTTTTCATACAGCAAAGCAGTAGTTGTTTTGTCATCACATAAGAGGCACAAATATGAAATTGACCGTGTTGCACAGTAATGCATGCAGGTAAAAAGAAATGCAATACGAGAAAAACAACAAGCCAAAAGAATGTTGCTACAACAAAGGGGAAAATGAACACGGAAAAATCTGATCATGTTAGATCAAAACAGGAAGAAATATGCCTTTATGATTAAAAGGTTAACATTTCATGCTGGAATGTAGACTGGCAGCGTGCCTGACGTTAAACACCTGAATACATCCTCATTAACACTCAAACATTTTACACTGCATGCATACACAGTACTTGCAGCCAGTTATAAACAGCTGCCTGGAGCCTCCAGACAAATTTATGGCACAATTCAGATCAACATGTGGGACACATTTATTTAAAGTTCTGATATAAAAAAAAATACATCATGACTGCACTCAACACTGTTCAAAGTTGGCTGATATCAATAAATGCTACTGTTTAATGTATAATACAATTTTATATAGCATAAAAGTGCTTTGAAATGGATCCTCTTTGACGTGTAAGATTGAATGATTCATATCTGAAGCTGCAGGCTGAGACTGGTATTGTAAAAGTTACTTGGCTGACAGAGACTTAGACAAGGCGTGTCCTGTTTTCTCTAACAGTAATGAATAATGCTTGGATGATGGGGTTTAAAGGAATGTTACTGGGCTGTGAAAAGTCAGTAAAGTGGCAAAGTGGCAGGAGCCTGGCCTACACTGAGTAGGAACTACAGTCCTCCCTAGCTTTGCTAATCTTCAAGTGAAATTTTAAAGAAGACTAACTACCTCAAACAATGAGGAACTACTATTAAACCATTACTATTTAACTTTATGGCAGAGGCTGAATGGTCAGCATTTACTTTTGCACTTCTCCCTGCTCAAAAAACAAATTTAAAAATGTTTTTAATAATGTATAAACACAGTTGCAATAGTGACTTTTGACAGGAAATGAGTAGCTTAATATACCAAATATACATATACAAATGACAGACTGGTAAAATGGTTTGCTGTTCCATAAAACATTGGTAAAGAACCATACATATGGTACTGAATACAGTCAACAACTCTAAAATCATGTTATAAAAACTGATCAGTCAACTGATCACTTCCTGCCGTTTGTCATACTAGTCAAACAAAGCCAGGCTAGCTGTTTCCAGGCATCATGTGAAGCTAAGCTAATTGCTTGCTGCGTGTAGCTTTGTATTCCCTTTACTGTACTTAAAGTGTCATTGATCTTCTCATCTAACTTTTGGCAAAAAGTCCAACTATTCTTCAATGATAAAAAACATTTATTGCTAAAAGGTCTTTACAAAGTGTTGCATAGAAACTCCATCCATCCATCTATCCATCCATTATCTACACCACTTATTCCTGAATAGGGTCACGGGGGGGCTGGAGCCAATCCCAGCTGACACTGGGCGAGAGGTGGGGTCCACCCTGGACAGGTCACCAGTCTGACACTTAGAGACAAACAACCACCCACACTCACTCCTACGGGCACTTTAGAGTCGCCAGTCAACCTAAGCTGCATGTCGTTGGACTGTGGGAGGAAGCCGGAGTACCCAGAGAGAACACACACAAGCACAGGGAAGACATGCAAACTCCACACAAGAAGGCACCGGGGCGGCCGGAGCTCGAACCGAGAACCTTCTTTGCATAGAATTTATTGGTGCAAAATCTGATTTTTCTGACACTCTTCCCCCCCGGAACCATGTGATCTGTTGGTCTCTGTGGCTTCACCCTGTCATCTCAGCTGAGGACTGGCATGAGAGGTAGAGTGCTCAGTGACAGGTGTTTGCTGTGAAATAAAGCTGCAGTTTGATTTTTTTTACGCTTTCTGTGAGTGAGTCTCTAAGGAGAACCGCAGTACTTGGTTTCATTCGTTTTTTGTTCCACTTGGCACCAGTTGAAGAATTACTGAATGCCATACTTTGTCTCCAGTTCATCAGCTGCCCATTCCAGGTGCATCTTTCGCAGTTGGTCCAACAACTCTTGCATCAATGGCCAGTGTAGCATTTCCCCTTGTCCAACTTCGCCTGCACGCAACACTCTCTCAGTCCACACCCGCAGCATCTGGTAATGAGCCTCCCGGCAGGACCTGTGATCCATCTCTGCTTGTTCGATCTCTATATCCCTCACACCGAGAGTACGCACAAGTTGCTTCACTTGCAGTACAGGAACTAGATCCAGCACAGTGTAGATCAGGTCAGGGACTGCAGAGGGAGAAAGGAGAGGGGAGTTGAGGCAACAATAGTTTTCTGTGTGTTCGAGCCAACACATACTGAATCAGTTTTCAAAAGCATGTGCTGCTGTGTGTGGTATCAAATACCCTCACCCTTGATTTCCAGGGGGACACAGTCAGGCAGATTAGGTGGCTCCTGTTCACCCACAGGGCTCTGGGGAAGGGCTTTGACACTGCTGTTGTCCAAAGGGTCCTCATTGACAATCAGGACCGGCTACAAGAGAAAGAGCAGATCAGGTTTTATTGACTGTAGATACGCATGCCATAGGGAAAAGGTAACCGGAGACAGTTAGATCGGTGTACCTTGTATTGCAGAGGGACATCAGATGGCTGGGAGGATGATTTTAACAATTTCTTCTTGATAAACCATTTTGTGACAATATGGGTGATAAACACCAGCACTGCCAATACAAATGCTCCAACAGTTATGGCAATATAGACTGCATTTCCAGAGGGAGGCGGTTTAGGAGGCTCTGCAGGGCACAGAGGAAAAAAAGACATGAAGATGGACAATTTTAACAATTTTAGACAGACTAAACTACACTTTCTCGTAACAAAACATGAAGACATCTAAAACAGAATTACTGCCTTTGCGGTCATATGCCTCCACCAACCAGTCACATTCATGGGTATGGGACAGAAGTGAGGTCACTGACCTTTGACCTTTGACCACCAATCTCTAATTAGTTCATCCTGGAGTTCAACTAGACACTTTAGTCAAATTTGAAGAGACTCCTTCAAGACCTTCCTGACTATTGCGTTCACAAGAACTGTACGGATGGACAACCCAAACACATAATGTCTCTGTCCATGGATATCGCTGGCGGGGGCAAAAAAACAGTAGAGCTCTTTGATGCCAAGCAAGAAAATCCAGGGTTTGTGCAGGGTCCACCAAGTTACAACACTTTTAACACCTTTTAAATACCATATGAAGTAGAATAGAACTTTATACCTTTTTTACACTCATACCAGTTGAAATATGAAAAGTATTATGGAAAACCAGTCAAGCACAATACGGCCTATAGAATTTAGCATCATTACACTATGTCACATTTCTTTCAGTCCTTAACAGAAACATAGCAAAACCTCTAAATGATATAATGAATTACAATAATGCAGCCTGGACCCAGATAAGCTGAATAACATGGAACCTGTTAAAAATGATTTACTTATCTCAGTTTTTACTATAAACTGACACTTGCCCAACACATACAACGAGCTTCCTAGCTACTGTTCCTTGCTGTAGTGTTTGCTACAGGTCTGCTGGCGCTAACAGAACCTCAAAATAGACTCAACAGTTTCCTGACCACACTGTCACAACAATCCCAGTTTTAATTTATAGTGTAGCTGTGTAACATTTCCTGACAGCCTGCAATTACACACAAAAACATTTTCTAACTAACATTAGTGTCTATGGTAGGCAAGACAAAACATTTAAGATTCTTGTAAAGTAAATGTAAGACCCAAGACTTCTCTAGACCTGCAGATGCCCTGATATATGATTTTACTAAAGGTACTGGTTAAAGGTATCTAGTATGTTGATAGGTCAGGGAACTTGTGTTCAATCTGCATCTGACCCGTTTGACCCACCGTACATTACAGCTGTAACTGATGAACACTTTCATGTGAAAACTGGCCTCATAGTCGTATGTCTGATATATTGTGTGCTCACCTTGTGTGGTCACAGAAGAAGGTGTTGAGCAGTAACGTGTGCACTCCGCTGTACAACTGTGGAGAACAGAGAGGACATTTCACAACACTGGAAAGGAAGTGGCACATTTAAAAAGGAAGTGATTAAAAGCTGAGGCACCTTTTCAACGAGAGCAAATGAGTTCAACAACACTTCAAATGTGCTTTCACAGTTAACACACATCAGGGAATCTGCCACAACTCAGAAAGGCTACATTTATGTGTTTATGTGAAGGAGTGGGGGTAAGGATTAGCTACATACATTCTATATAACAGGTATTTGGTCCTTTGGGACCCCCGCCTCTTTCCTCTTTTATCTGTGAAACATCTCTGGGTTTTCCCACCTACAAATGGAGGTTTTGGGCACTACCACAACAGGAGTCGATGGGAATGTTTCATTTACATTTTCACTAAATATTCCCTTTTCAAATGCCTGCATAAGCAGTTCTGTTTATAAATATGTACTAGAGAAGCACAGATTCTTTAGGGGTCCTCCCTCAGTGAACCAGGCAGACACTGTGTTGGGTAAAACAGGAGCTAATGAGGCAGTTTAATAAACAAAAAAGCACTCATTTTACAAATGTAACAATGTCAGTAACCAAGTTTTAATCTTGTAACTTCTCACTTCTTTTGACAACAAATGGAAAGATTGAACAATCTGTATGCAGCAAGTTTCAGTTCAGCAAACCAACTTCCCCATCAACTATCTTAAATAAAATCAACTCAAACAGCAGGAGGGGAGCAGTGTATGCACTATACTCACTTTTTGCACAGTTCACACTTGCGACCGACTCTGTAGTAGTTTTCCTTACATGTACAGACAGTGTTTCTCTCTGTAGTACCTGTGCACAGTACAAGTAAGAGTATTTAAAGAACACTGAGGAAATACATGACAAGCCATAAAATGAATAAAGCAAAGGCCTTTGCATTAAATATAGCTGAGTATCAATATATTTAGAGACTTACATGCCTGTTTTACCATTTCGTTAGGTCCACACGGTAAACACTTAAGACACTGTGAGCTTACTGAGTCGATGTTAGATTTGTAATAACCATATTTACACTGACAAATAGTGTTTTGGTTACTTTGACATGCTGACACCTGAACTTCATTCCTTGATGCTGTGGTAGAGATAAAAAGAGAAAAGGTGAACAAAGCAAACTATTCCCTGATGTGCTAAACTCTGAAAGGTTTTCGAAACTGAGTCTGATAAAGATAATGTTACTCTACCTAAGCATCTTTTGCAACTCATGCAGGTGAAGACATAGTTCATCTGATCTGTGTACTGTCCAAGAGGGCAAGGCGTGCAATTGCTCCTCTGACCTGCAGCATGACACTCTTCTACAAGCTTAAAACCTGAGAAACGTCAAGACAATTTGTATAACTTTGTAGAACTGATCCCATAATATGTTTGTAATATTTCTGCTTGCCACTATGTGTCAAGTGTTTCTCTACCTGGAGAACATTTGTTGCAACAAATTCCCTTTTCTGTAGCGTAGTCCCCAGGTGGACACACCATCGATGCCAACGAGTGGATGAACACACACTGCAACAGTGAAAGTACAACTTTAAAAAACTTCATTATCCATCTCAAGATGTTTTTTCATGTTTTCATGTAAACACAGAAAAGCACTTTAGGTTTTTGCTCACCATGAGGAGCAGTACTGTGCCAGCAGGGGCTTTATTATCCCATCTTCGTCTGTGCCCGGCTCCCTCCATTATCTTACAGGTTTAATTCAGTCCATCTGAGGCCACCTGCAAACTAAAAATATGTAACTCCTCAAATGTCAAAGAAATAGATCACAGTTTATAACTCTTTTGCTGAACTTGGATAGACAAAATACTCTGGGCACACACAAAACTCACTAAAACTCATTATCAAATGCCTTAAATTTACAAATATATCAACTAGGTAGGCAGCAGCGTACCTCAGTCATTTAGCTGGTCAGTGAAATAGCTTTTTAGGTACAGGATCAATTGCCATCAGTTCATGTGCAGTATAAACAGTCATGGACCCATGACTTTGATTTGAAGCACCTCCTATACTCTCGGTCACTGTTTGTTCTTCACTAGAGTTAAAGAGAGGATACAGTGCATCCAGAAAGTATTCACAGTGCTTAACTTTTTCCACATTTTGTTACAGCCTTATTCCAAGATGGATTAAATTAATTTGTGTTCTCAAAATTCTACAAACAATACCCCATAATGACAATGTGAAAAATGTTTGTTTGAAATCTTTGCAAATTTATTAAAAAGGAAAAATGAAAAAAAATCACAAATACATAAGTATTCACAGCTTTTGTCATGACACTCAAAATTGAGCTCTGGTGCATCCTGTTTCCACTGATCATCCTTCAAATGTTCCTATTGGACATGATTTGGAAAGGCATACACCTGTCTATATAAGGTCCCACAGTTAACAGTGCATGTCAGAGCACAAACCAAGCCATGAGGTCCAAGGGATTGTCTGTAGATCTCCGAGACAGGATTGTATCAAGGCACAGATCTGGGGAAGGGTACAAAAAAATGTCTGCAGCATTGAAGGTCCCAATGAGCACAGTGGCCTCCATCATCCGTAAATGGAAGATGTCTGGAACCACCAGGACTCCTCCTAGAGTTGGCCACCCAGCCAAACTGAGTGATCGAGAGAGAAGGGCCTTAGTCAGGGAGGTGACCAAGAACCTGATGGTCACTCTGAAAGAGCTCCAGCGTTTCTCTGTGGAGAGAGGAGAACCTTCCAGAAGAACAGCCATCTCTGCAGTACTCCACCAATCAGGCCTGTATGGTAGAGAGGCCAGACAGAAACCACTCCTCAGTAACAAGCACATGGCAGCCCACCTGGAGTTTGCCAAAAGGTACCTGAAGGACTCTCAGACCACGAGAAACAAAGCTCTCTGGTCTGATGAAACAAAGATCGAACTCTCTGGCCTGAATGCCAAGCATCATGTCTGGAGGAAACCAGGCACCGCTCACCACCTGGTCAATACCATCCCTACAGTGAAGCATGATAACAAAGGAGTGGCTACAGGACAACTCTGTGAATGTCCTTGAGTGGCCCAGCTAGAGCCCAGACTTGAACCCAATTGAACATCTCTGGAGAGATCTGAAAATGGCTGTGCACCGATGCTCCCCATCCAACCTGATGGAGCTTGAGGTACTGGAAAGAAGAATGGAAGAAATGGCCCAAAAATAGTTGTGCCAAGCGTGTAGCATCATACTCAAAAAGACTTGAGGCTGTAATTGGTGCTAAAGGTGATTTAACAAAGTATTGAGCAAAGGCTGTGAATACTTATGTACATGTGCTTTTTTGTTTTTTATTTTTATTTTTAATAAATTTACAAAGATTTCAAACAAACTTTTTTCACGTTGTCATTATGGAGTATTGTTTGTAGAATTTTCAGGACAATAATGAATTGAATCCATTTTGGAATAAGGCTGTAACCTAACAAAATGTGGAAAAAGGTAAGCGCTGTGAATACTTTCTGGATGCACTGTACTTCTAAACAGTTCCCATCAGGCTTTGCTGTACATTGATATTAACACTAGACTACATTACATTAAACATTAGCCTGCAAGCATACTAAATGTTAGCATTTTTAGTAACAGGAACAGGTGAAAACATGTTAGTATACAGCATAAAATGTGTATAAATCAATACTATACTGTTAATTTGTACAACATTCATTTTTGATTAGTGTCACTACTGTGTAAATGTGATATACACAAGACAAATTATATCTGGTATATCTTAATCATGATTAACTCAGTAAAACACACACACACTATCATTCATAACAAAAGCACAGCCACAAATTGGCCAGACTTTGCAGCGTAGTAAATGGATTAAACAAAGCATCATTTACTTTAAATATATATACAAAACATTAGCACAAAATGTCTTATGACATGTATTCATAGAAGCATCATTAAAATGTTGTGTGTAATCTAAATGGTTATAAATATTAAATCAATCCAATTACACATATGCAGGTCCATCTTCTAGTATTTCTGCTACCAACCAAATAACAGAGGGCAAAACAACTTCATTAGTGGTGTGAAAAGTTATATTTGGAAACCAGACTTTTGTCCCAGTTATTAACCAGGGCAATTCCTAGTCCTACTTTTTTGCTATGGACACGTTTTTTTTAACTATTTTCTAACAAAGAAGTCCAAATGACCACAGACTACAGATGATTAACTGGAGTAACCATTTTACTAGGGAGGGGTTTTAGAAGTGTGTCTATGTTACAGAAGTAGATGAAGTGAAACTATCTACAAGAAACTATGTTTATTAATCTGTGGCTAAAATCTAAATGTCACTCAGTTATTTTTATTCATTTTTATTAGTTTTAACTGAAATACCTTTACTTCAACCTGCAATGTAAAGATTGTTTTAATTTTTTGTTTGTTTGTTTTGTTTTGTTTTTTAACCTTAAATTAACCTAAGCAGCATCATTTACGGTTCCGGTAGAGGCATGATGCACAAAGTTCATTTTGTTTATTCACATTGTTCATTGATTAAAGAAAAGAGGACACCCACATATTTCTGCACCACTTGTTTGGCAGCTCACCACTCGCGTCCCTGTCGCACCAAACAGACTTTCACCTGAATTTAGACTAGTGTCATTTTAAAAACCTCAAAAAACCGACTTGCACATTTACAGATATTGTTCACGTATTCAAGAACTAGATCTACACTTTTAGCGTTTTTATTTTGCTCTTGTGTCGTTGGTTTCGTTTTAGCTCACATCACATAACGCCCACTCCATCTGCAGATTGATAAGTATCTCCCCTTCCCATAGTCTGACACAACAGATCTTTTACCGCCACTTACCTGGACAGCCACCGTCCCGCCGGGGAATAGCTCTTACTTCAGCCCCATAAGTCGGCATAAATGTAATTCATTTAAAATGAGACTTTTTCATGAAAATCCGACGACGGAGATTTGCCCCTTTCGACCGAGAGCGCGGGGCGGACCCAACCGGGAAGTAGCTGCGTCACTGGCGCAGTTCAAGGAATTTGAAACAGTTTGGCAAGAAGGGGCTAACACACAAACACGCTAACACACACACGGACCTGCTGAAGGACTGACTCACTGTGAATTAAAACGCTCCAACGAACGCCAGTCCATATGCCAACACTACATATCTTTACTTAGCAATTTCTCCTTAATTACCATCTCTAAGCCTAACTGAAACAACAGTTGCAAATTATTCTGCCAGACTGCCTAAATATATTTTAATGCCCATCCATTATCTACACCACTTATTCCTGAATAGGGTCACGGGGGGAGGGGGCTGGAGCTAATCCCAGCTGACACTAGGCGAGAGGCGGGGTCCGGCAAGGACAGACCGGTGACCTGTCACAGGGCTGACACGTAAGACAAACAACCACAACACACCCACACTCACTCCTACTGCCAATTTAGAGTCGCCAGGCGACCTGAGCTGCAGGTCTTTGGACTGTGGGCGGAAGCAGGAGCACCCGGAGGAAGGCCCCGGGTCGGCCGGGATGTTGTTGCTGCCAGGCGTCAGCGCTAACCACCAGAGGTTAGGAGGGAGAGGCACTGGGACTGTGTACTTCAGATGTGCGCATTCCCTGATTCTCTATTTAAATTACAAATAAATACACACTAACCCGAAGCTTTGGCAGTCAAGCCTTGAGCACCTTAGTGGTGAGTAAAATCAGAAATGATCAGTCAGTCATGCTTTGAATAGAAATGATCTAATTTAATTTGCCCGTAACTATGGGTACCATCATTTTTTTAAAGCCGGTTGGTACTTTATTCAACAGGCCAGCAGGGAGGTCTCACGTGCCTTTTCTGTTACAGTATATGAAAGAGCTCACTCAGCAGAGCAAGACAAGTGCTTCCTCAGAAAAACCGCATCCTTCCTTTTCAGTGAGCAAAAAAGCACCTTCATCTCAGTAATCTGTCTCTTCTTTATCTCTCTGTCTGGGTCAAATACCTGCACTATGTTCTCACATTTGACATAAGGGTATTTAAAGTAGGTGCTCTCATACACAGAAGAACACACAGTTCTTATTCTGTGTGTAGGTTTTGTGTTTCTAGCCAAGTGCACAAATGGCTTTTGTTTATTTGTTTACCTCATCACAAAAACATCAACAATTTCCTGGCAAAGATTGCTTTGAAGTTCTAACTAGATGTACTAATACTTACGGTCAAGCAGCAATACTGAAACCTTAAGATAAGCATGACAAGGTTTGCTCTAAGTCAGCTCAGAGTGATTTTGTTGCACAGTCATGTCTTGTCCAGTCATCACTGTACTCGGTTTGAGTGTTGCAGCCACATGGAGCCTTGGAGGCAGCCCCTTCAGGACGCCGCTTCCTCAACCTTAGTCACAGTTGACAGGAGGTCACGTGTTGTGACTTGACAGCTGCATGGTGGCATCCAGCCTCTTCAGTTTAAGGTCAGAGAATAGATGAATTCAGGTCTAAGAATAATAGAAAGACACTAACGTTCTGTTTCAGTGACTAGCCACAGGTGTCTGGGGAAGATCTGCACACAAATACCAGTGATCTCAGTAATTAACTCAAAGAGTTCTCACGCCTACAAAGTTTGTCCTGTAATGTGAGAATATTCTCAGAAACTCGTCATTCTCTTTATGGTCAGCAGCACTTTACTTACTGTTTGGTGTAATTCAAATGAAAATTACCCTCAACTCTTAGAAACATTGGAAGGAAATGTAAAACCATGTTGGTTTATGCCTCTGTGGGCAGAAGTATCAGCCTGATCCCATGCTACCTTTTATAGCTTGATATTAGTATTTTCACATCCATAATAAGATGAATAATACAACTTTTTAATTATTTGTGAATCTGGTGTTATTAAAATTATTATTATTTCTCATTCCTGACGGTCATGAAGTTACAGAGCAGCTCATCAACAAAATGCCAGTTCTTGGAATGTTTGTCTCCTCCACATCTTTCTGTAAGAGCAACAGGACGAGTTAGGACTTAAATGAGTGGTGTGTGATGTGTTACTGTAATGACCCCATCATCTAACTGTAAGAACTGGAGAGACAGAAAAACAGAGAGAGAGAGAAAGCATGAGATGCTTTGGAAGGCAAAAGTCTGATTTTGGATGAAACGAGAGAGATGGTGTCTGTGGAAAAAAGCGAAGGCTGGAGGAGGGCAAGTTTTCATCACAGAGCCAGGGGGTCGCAGCAAAAACAGACAGGATGAGAGAGCGGGGCAAACATTCACAGTGATGCAAAATGCTAACATTTTCACAATGAGTCATCAGTGACATTTTATGAATAATCTCCTGACATACTTCTGGTCCCCTGTTCAGTCTCATGCTCACAGGGTCACAGGTTACTTCTGAGCTCCCCTTCTCAGCCACTGTAAGTAGCAAAATAGTTTCCTCCATATCTGTCGGTCAGATCTTTAATAAGTATCCTGTCATGTTGAATGTTAATGTTGCTGTAATCTCACTAGCAGTAGGATGTAAAGTTTGTTAAGTGTTTAGATTACTGGAAGGATGATTTTCTCTCTGTGTCTATCATGATTTATGTTCGTATAGTAAAGCACTGTAGATGCCCGGTGTTTCGGCATTAGTGCTGTATGTTAATATACCTGTTGAAATAAATTGTTGTTTGCATCCTCCTCCTCCTCTTTCTGCTCCCCCTCCTCCTCTGCTCTTTCATTTTCCCAGATGCACCCACTTTATTATATTGCTTTTACTGTCCTGGCCAGTGTTTCTTTCCTCTCTTCCGTATTTTCTATTCAGTGCAATGACAACCAATATCCATGGCCGGTGACGACACAACAGTTTTGCTGTGACAAGTGCCGACCAGGTACATCGATCTTTTCACCATGAATCATTTCATAGTTTTGATGCTAACAGGTTATAACTGTAAATCAACGCTGTATATTCTAGGATATCATATGAATCGCGGGCGTCCAGAAAACTCCTGTAAAATTTATTGTGAGGTTTGCCCGAACCACCAATACACTGATTCCTACAACGTGGAGATGTCCTGCAGAACTTGCAATTTTTGCAACAAACGTGAGTAACCTCTCAGCTCTTGTCTTGGGGGAGGGGTGCCAAATACGTATGAGATCTAAACTGGATGATAGTTTGAGCAGTTTTTAGACCTAGAACAGGGACAGTCTTAGTAACACCAATAACATTATCACATTTTATATGATACTTTATTCTATTTGCACTGGTCATAGAGATTCAAAGGTGTTTTAAAGGGTTGATGTCCTGCTTTTACAGGAGAATTGAACCCGCCTTTACTTTGCCATTTGACTCTGATAACACTGGTCTAGAAATGTAAAAAGGCCATCAGATATGACCGTCAAAAGAACTAACTGGCTGTAGTTTTAAGCTGTATAGCCACTTGTGTTTTATGCTCACATGCAAAAAGCTGACTGACAAGTTAAGATAACACCTTTTGACTTCAAGAAAGTATATGGACTGATGTATACAACACAGAGATGAGCTGAGGTATGAATATAATAAGCGCCTTAGTTAAATGAAAAATGTGTGAGATGCAATACAAGAGTAATGTTTCACCTAAGACGTTTGTTTTATCAAGAGCAAACCGTTTTGCTCATTTCGCTGGCCCCGAACAAGCAATGATTGATTATTTTTGTTTCAGAAGCATTTGGGTTTTAGACCAGTGTAGTGCGTCTATGAACAGAGAAAATAAATGTTAAAAGTCTTTACCAATATATAAAGATGATTATTTAACAATATTATTGGATATACAGGTTAAAAAAAGATGCTAGAAATCTTAATACAGACTAGCAGATGTCATGTGCACTACTTCTGATTTGACTTAAATATCTGTGATTAAACAATACTACTAAATACTACCTCCCATTCCCCACCTCCTGTATGTAGTTAATTTCATGTGTCTTCCTTTTGAGCATGAGTGATTCATCACCTCTCTGTAATCATGACACCATCTTTGTCCAGTTACAACACAAAAGAAAAGAGGGCAGGCTGTCAGTTAGTTACTCAACTCTGTCTGAACATTTTGATTTCACAGAAGTTTGCCCATAGAAATCTAAGGCCACATATGCAGGGGGCTTTCCCATTCTGTTGACTATGGTGGGATACAGTCAGAAAGAGATGGGGGAGGGGGGTGTCTGAGAGACACTCGGTGAACCAGCTCAGAGTGCATCAGAGTGGGATTCTGCAGCAGGAGTCCCCACTGATATGATAAAGCATCAGGAGCACAGCCCACCAATGGTGCTATAAACAGGGAGTTGTTGAAAAATAGACCATCATCATGTCAGTGGAAAAAAAAAAAGAGAGAGAGGAAAAACACAGAAAAGTGGTAAACATCGGAAAGAGCAGCAGACAAATGTCATATCATATGTTATTACCCAGATCTCTGCTCTGCTACAGGTGAGCAAAAACCGCCTGTTATGCCTGTTTTTAAATGTCACCGTGGAAAACGTAAAAGAGATAAAACACAGCAGTGAGAGAAAGACTGTGTTCTCAGTCTGAACTTTAACATGAATACAGCTCAAAGTTTGACATTTATGTCAACAACAAGACGACTTCTGTTCAAACTGTAACCAAAGGATTTTACACTGCAGCTGTAAACAAACATGAAACATGCAGACGTCTGTGCCAACTGTAGGGCGAGAAGGTGGGTGTTCAAAACAAGCCAATTAATGGCTGTGGAAACTAATTCAGGTGGAAATGATTCAACCCACACAAATAATTCAGAGAACATGCAATACCAGAGAATTTTTTTCAGCTGAGCTTGGTCAGGGTGTTAACAGCTTTCAAAGTGCAAACACTTTCAAAGAAGGTGTATTTTAAACTTTAGTAATAATATATAACATTTTTGGCCCCTTCAAATGATATTAATTACCTCATCAATTAAATTTATTGCTGTGAATCTGCAGTCACCCATAACTATTAAGCTTGTTTCTGTCTTTTACATTTACTAGTATACGCTGCGATAGTCAAGTATTGGAATCTTTCAAAGTTCATTTTTCTTGTTTAATGGAGCTTTATGATGGAATAGCAATAGTGAAGAAGTGACTGGGGTGAGAACCAGCACAAAGCCCCCAACTCGGCTCTGCTCAAGAGTCACCGCTAGCTCCAAAACACCCATATTCTCTGCTTTGTGGTGAAATGTGACTTCTGACCTCCCAGCAAGGAAGACAGGCTAAACGAATATTATCATTCATGGACAAGTGTAATACTACATTCATTTATCCATTCACCTGCACATGTTTTTGATAATCTGTTGTAAATTTTAATGACCCTTGTGTTGACATTTTGTTGTTGAGACAAGGCAATAAGCATACTGAAGATAACCCAGCAAACATAATGAAAATATAAGATTATGATTATGTTTTAGCTACAGTCTACATGTGCGGTTCCCTCAGTTCAAACAAACTGCAACTACTAAGATATAAAGTCTATCTGAACTGTGATCCTAAATGACAGATTTTTGTGGTTTCAAGATGTATTTTGGTTGATGAAAACAAATGTTTTGTGATGACTGTGGGTCCAGCGGACTCATACGAATAGTTTTCTGTTTGCTAATTTGTCAGATCACATTACAGTATGTGTTCAAGCATTCTGTAAGCACTTTTTTACATCGAAGTGAAATAGTGCTTTCGCTGAGAAATAACAGTTGTGCCTACCTCTAAAGAAGTACTAGCTAAAGCAATAATATAACCTCTTATGACTAAAAACTAGAATCTTTACCTGCCATGCCCAGAGTCTGAGTCATTTCACGTTTCCTGATATGTTTTAAAGACAGCTCCTGTGAATAAGTGTGCGTGCCCGTCACACACAAATGTACTCAGAATTATATCTTTTAATGGAAACTTCTTTTTTTATTTTGCAGCTAACATGGAGTACAAGGTGAAGTGTAGCACCACTCATAATGCTGTGTGTGGCTGTACAGCCGGATACAGGTGCAACGATCAGTCCTGCTCACAGTGTGTGAAGATAGCAGCCACCACCAAACCTACACTCCCTCCATCCACTACAAGTAAGATACACCTTTTCCACACATTCCGCCAAATTTCACACAGAGCTGTTGAAATAACTTTGTGCATTACAGGCACAGTTGAGCTTCTTGTTTTGAGCGGGGACATCGCTGAGAGTCAACTGCAGACTTTCAGCACATTCAACTCAGTTTTCATTCGGATGTTTGAAGAACTCTGTACAAATATGAAAACACTGGGAAATCAACTGAATGAAAGGTTACCATAGAAGTAACCATACCAAACATTTTTTCATTACCCATTATCTGCTGCACCACAACCAACAGCACTGTTGGATGTGGTTAGAAATGCAGTCTGTTGCACTCACAACCACACATTACTGTGGTATTAGGGCGTACAGTTTGAGCCAGTAACCAAATGAAGGCAGCAAACGTGCAACATCCAGTTCATTCAGTATCATGACTTGTGTATTCGTTATATGCTGTGGTTTAAATAAAAGATTATAAACAGCCGGCAACAGACACCCGAAAGTTTCATGAGGTTAAAACTGCTGCAAATGCTTGAGACCTGGGAACTATATAAATTACTGTCAGTTATTTCACTTTAAAACATGAAGACTTGTATGTTTTATTTTGTTGGCAGATAGAAACAACATAAAATGTTGTAAAATAATCAGAGATGAGATGGCACAGGCCACCATCCCTGGTGCCACACATGCCAGAGTCAAAATGTGATACTTGTCAGTATTAATGAATGAAAAGTGAAAAACTATGACAAATTGTTGCCTTAAATACAACTAACATTTATATTTGAATTTATTATAATTGATATTGGCCAAATACATTTTATTTTATATCATGCATGTAGCAAGAAATTCGCATTCATTTCTCCAGTGGTGTTATTGTGGGGTACTTGGCATGATTTACATGTATTTCATATGTGCCACCCCTCTCTGAGGCTGTGCCTGGCCACCCCATCCAAATTTTTCTAGATCTGCCCCTGCTTCTGTGGCTCTAGGAAAAAGGTCATTTTTCACTGGTGTCATTCTTTTTCTTAAGTATGCCTCAGTTTTTCACACCGCTTGACTAAAGCGGTGTGAAACTGTTTTATAAGACAAAAAGAAGAGCACTATCATTCCATCTCTGATTCTGTCGCTAACCATGGTAACACACTGTAGCACTTCAGACCACAAAGTAACAATAGTCATATTTATCAGGCTTCCTGAATGGTTGGTGTAGTTCAGCTGAAATGGTTATGTGATGATGTAATCACTAACAACATGTAAATAAATATGTTATGACCTCAGTTAGCAACTGCTTGTTTACTCTACAGTACCTATGGTCACACAGGTTAATTGTAAATTGTGTTCTGTTATAAATTCAGACTTTCTTACCAGAGCTCATTGACTAATCTAAGCCATGAGCAGTTTCAATATTAATGCCACCACTGAGCTGATAGGCACTTGTTAAAAAAAATCTCTTACTTCCAGCCACAACACCTCACAACACCTGAAGACCTCCTGAAGACCTCACAACACCTGAAGACCTCACAACACCCGGCCCACAACAATTCAATGGTAAAGTAAGCTCATGGTTCTGCACCAGTGAAATGGCTCAACTCTCCCTCCATTGACTTTATACAGTGGGTACGGAAAAGTATTCAGACCCCCTTAAATTTTTCACTCTTTGTTATATTGCAGCCATATGCTAAAATCATTTAAGTTCATTTTTTTCCTCATTAATGTACACACAGCACCCCATATTGACAGAAAAACACAGAATGTTTGACATTTTTGCAGATTTATTAAAAAAGAAAAACTGAAATATCACATGGTCATAAGTATTCAGACCCTTTGCTCAGTATTTAGTAGAAGCACCCTTTTGAGCTAATACAGTCATGGGTCTTTTTGGGAATGATGTAACAAGTTTTTCACACCTGCATTTGGGGATCCTCTGCCATTCCTCCTTGCAGATCCTCTCCAGTTCTGTCAGGTTGGATGGTAAACGTTGGTGGACAGCCATTTTCAGGTCTCCCCAGAGATGCTCAATTGGGTTTAAGTCAGGGCTCTGGCTGGGCCATTCAAGAACAGTCACGGAGTTGTTGTGAAGCCACTCCTTCGTTATTTTAGCTGTGTGCTTAGGGTCATTGTCTTGTTGGAAGGTGAACCTTCGGCCCAGGCTGAGGTCCTGAGCACTCTGGAGAAGGTTTCCGTCCAGGCTATCCCTGTACTTGGCCGCATTCATCCTTCCCTCGATTGCAACCAGTCGTCCGGTCCCTGCAGCTGAAAAACACCCCCATAGCATGATGCGGCCACCACCATGCTTCACTGTTGGGACTGTATTGGACAGGTGATGAGCAGTGCCTGGTTTTCTCCACACATACCGCTTAGAATTAAGGCCAAAAAGTTCTATCTTGGTCTCATCAGACCAGAGAATCTTATTTCTCACCATCTTGGAGTCCTTCAGGTGTTTTTTAGCAAACTCCATGCGGACTTTCATGTGTCTTGC